ATAACAAATCCTTCGAAATATCTTACAAAAGAAATATAAATAAATTTTCTTCTTTATAAAATCTTGGAGTAATGCACGAAGATTACCTCAACAGATCATAAAATATATATTCTTTTTTAATTTTCCCTAAACTTATTGATAAAGCACGAATATTAAAAAATATATAAAATTTGGAATTTTTATTGCCACGAATTCAGATCAATGATTCTTTTCATTAAAATACAATAATCACAATTGAAATTTCCTCTATCCACCTAAATAGTAAGTCAATAGCCTTTTCAAAGTCTAAAATGTAGAATATAGAATACATACATTCTGTACTTAAAGTCCTATTATTTTCTTACATCCTTCAGCTCAAATCATAAAAAGAGTTCTGTAAATTACTAACAACGACGGTAAGGTTTCTATCTTAGTTCTGTCCTTGATCAGTTAATTCTTACACTTCTAGGTTTAAAGGATAAACCAATACATTGCAAGCATCGTATCTCTCCAAAATGTTCTTTTTTTCTGTTTAAGAGCTTTCACAACGGATTGAATTGAAGGGAAAATTAAAAACTTTGTATTAGATAGAGAACTATCATGATACTACCAAATTACACGTGATACTCGCTATTATACATATCGCAAAATTACTATCAGACACAAACAAGATGGATAAACTAACTATTGGTACATAAACTATGTAAAGGTTCCCAGGCAATTCGCAGTGTACCAAAAGTAAAAATCGCTCTTAATAAGAAAATTTCCATTTTTTCATATGCCAGTTTTTCTTTCGACAGTGCAATACGTATCAAGAATTCTTGATATCTCCAATGTAAACATCGTTTTCTTCATTTACTCGCCATTCTCTAACAGTATGTATTACGGTTTCAGTATTTTTTCTTTTTTACAGACAAGCTGTATGTGTGTGTGTATGTGTGTGTGTATATATATATACATATATACAGATATATATGGCATTTGGTCATTGGGTTCTTGGAAAAAAAAACCCAGCCCAGGGTATTTACAAGTTTCCGACGAACTGTTGCGAAAGAGAGGCTGCATTTTTCGTGTCCGAATTTGTGACAAGATTATTGTTTTTGTGAGGACAGTGAGAGAAAGATAATGAGATTACGCTTAAAGGCAAGTATGTGCATTGACAAGTGTCGAGGGGTGTTTGTTGGCGGTAACAGACGCTCTAGCGCTCCGTCAATGGAGGGAGTCAATTTAGATCTCGCTACCGCGATAGCGGGTGCGCGTGCGGCGGCCCGAACAGTGAACTGACCCACCCGGTTTTGTTGGCGCTGAGAAAGAGGATCGTCGAGGGGACGGGCCGCGGAACGACGGATCACCAACGAAGGGAAAAGCGCGAAGCCTCGGCTCGATAAGGCTTGAGGATGCGAGCGAAGAAGCGACTAGTGTGTATCAGTCGGCTGAGGGTAGCACACAGATAGAGGACAGGCTCGGAAGAGAGCTCAGATCAGGTTCCCTTTTTCTATGGCAATCTTGAGATGTTTATAGACAGAATAAGGTTTAGTGCAGAAAGGGAAACTGAGAGGGAGAGAAACGCTAGGTTACTCGAGGGTGGTGTGAATGTAGGCTAGTTGAGGGCAGCTGCGGAGGCCCACAATCAGGAGATGCATGCATTAAATGCTTATGGCTGATATTCCATCGTCATCATTAAGGAGATCAATCAGTGAAGAATCGCAATTTTTGTCAGAGACCTCACACTGACTCGCTCGATGTTGATAGAGGGAATAACGTAGCGGGAAATAAACAGGTTCTGGGACTCAACTACGATAAAGCAGTCCCGTTCGAGTGCGGAAGGGTTTTTGGCACAGAGGTGGAAAGAGTCGGCTGCAAAGGGTCTATTGTACCCGCGGGAACGGTGTTGACGCAATGTGATTTCTGCCTAGTGCTTTGAATGCCAAAAAAGCGCGGATAAACGACGGAGTAACTTGACTCTCTTAACCTTCCGTCGGACGCGCACCCATTTCTGAAACGCCATCTGGCGCACTGGATCTTAGAGATCGGCCTTCAAGAGGTCTTTTACCAACTGGAAAGTAACTAACCATAGGAATAATAGAAGAACATGAGTGTAAACAAAAAAAGAAAAAGACATCAACATTTTGAGCACATTTGCACATTCTTGCGTAACGCATCGCGTCTATATATACAGATGAATTATGGTTGTGCCTGATCAGGTGCGCCCGACGGAGGATTAATAGAAATAGATAAAACTAGATAGAATCGGAATATATAGAACGGATAGAAATAGATCAAAACCAGAGTTTTTTAAAAACAGTTAGTTGACCTTTCCTTGTACCTTGAGTTTATAAGATTATCATGGCTTTAGCGAGACAACTTATCCAGGCCAAGAGTTGTGGTGTGCCTGGCATAGTGGCAAATTTTTCCAGCATAGTATCGGCGTCCAAAGAGCCATGCTTCTCATTATGCCTGTGCCATTAGGAGATGTTTTAAGTTTAAAGCATATAGGAGACTCTGATGCTCTTGTGATTTGGTTTTCCCGACCTTTAATAGCAGGTACCATTGCCCTAAGATGGGCCAGAAATGAGGGTATCACAGATGAAAACCATATCCTTGCTAGAACATATGGCGAGTTAGTTGCCACGTATGCTATCGAGTTGAAGTCCTCTTTTGAAGATAGAAATTTGAGTAGTCTCTTTATTACGATTCCTGCGCCTTCATTCCCCATCAATTAATGAGTTACCAGCTCTCACAGCAGGCATGGACAGGTTTGAGCAACATACGGCAC